CCTTGTTATCAATCTTTGTATCAGGGGTATCTAATGTAAACGCCATGCAGTGTGGACAACATGCCACATCTGCTCTTTAGACAGAGCTGCTTCTTGGTTACCAAGCGATTTATTAGAGCCCCGCGCGAGGAATAATAGGTCGCAGCATAAAGACCAAGCGGCGGCGCTTCCATAGGCGCACAATTATCTCCTAAACCAGGCTGTTGTGACAGTATCATTTAACCCTCATTGTCCACCGGATAGTTAGTGTCCTCCAAAACATCTCAGAGAGACAGAGGAGACTTGTCCTGCGGGTTAAAAGCGCCGTCCTCCTCCGGGGGAGCTGTGTTTGCGCTCAATTTATTGCAGAAGAACATATGGCCAATATTTTGTCTCGCGTCATAGCAAGGGGGGGAGAACAAACACGGCGCAATGTTAGCGAGTCAGCAGGAGCACAGCCACTTGGCCAGCTATGCAAACGCTCTTGGACAATATGAGCAGAGGAGCACTTGCTTTCTGGGTATATAAACCACATCAGGCTTATCTTTGCACGCACTCCTGACTCCCATTTGGAGACATTTCATTAAGTCCGCGCGCTGTCCTAACGCTGACAACACATTGAGACACCTCCCAGTCTAGGTAAGCGCACCGGATGCTCCAGGCACTTTACATGCAGTATTTTCCTCTATTTTACAGCTTAACAGCCTCTGTTTTATTTTATTTTATTTTATTTGTGTGTTTTTGAGCGACCTTGACAAGAACGACCCTGATTTTTAATTCTGTCTTTGAAAAGAGGAGACTGGCTGATCTGTGCAGGCCTGGTGCTTTTAGCGCACAGTAGCTGGTGATCATTACGCACACTCACCTGAACAGTCCACGCCTGGTTGAGCATTATTGTTGTGCTCACACTGTTAAGAGTGGCCTGCACCTTTGCTTGCTCCTTCACTGCTGATCCATAATGTTATAATAAAGAAAATACATGTAAAATATTGCAAACATATAGGACATTTCTCCAAAAGGCTAAACAAAGTTCAATTTACACATAATTAACTCAAAATATATTAAGTTTATTTAGAGGCGGAACTACTTGTGCGTTTTTTCGTGATGGAATCATAAAAATATGACTCTCCCTCTGCAGCTCAGTGATCAAGATATTGTCACATTTGGTTCCTGCTCTGTATTTGAGCAACAGTTTTGACTAGAAATCGTCAAATTAGGAAGATCACCCCCTGTTGTTTCTTAATTTTGCCTGCAGAGACCGCTAGAGCTCTACAGATGTCAACAGCTGTTGACATGCCACCGTATAGAAGAAGTTGCACTTGTGCCATGAACGCACCACATAAATTCCTCCTTATTTTAAAAAGTAGTATTTGTCTTTTATTAATTATTTAAACTGTATAGAAGTTTAAGTCCATGGGAGACGTTGACCTCTGTACTGGTGTGAAATGGGAAGTGATTAAAAACAATAACCCCCATTTTTTGTTCCTGCGTGAAAACAATAAGGCGAATGGCATTGCATTCAGTGTTATAATAAACTGGTGGTTTAACAAATTGAGACCTCTCCTCGGGGCATGGGCTTGATGCTGTAATCTCACCGTGACATGTTCAGTCATTAAAGGAAAAAAAAGATGAATAAAAACTCAAATAGAAAGGGAAAGGTGGTTGGATTAAAAAAAAAAAAAAGAAGAAACAGGATTAAAAAAAATTGCCCCCAAGCAAAATCTCCTCAGGCCATCTTAGCCTCATAAATAAACCGGAACCAGCTTTACCTGCTTTTAATATATTGGCTTTTAATCACAGAAAGGGGGAAATCGGTCCTGTCACTGTGTACATTTATCATGTTCACCCTGAGGCGGGCGGGGTTACCTTTATCAAAGACTAACTCCCCGCCTCAGGCATCCCAACACGCTGAAATCCAGCGATTAAAGGAAACCAGTGATCAACGTTCTTATTATGGATTCTCCTGCGGCATTCTTATTTGTGCTTTCAATCGAAAGATTTATTCAATCAGGGATATAAAAAGCCCTTTCTTTACTTATTTGGGAACAATCGTGGGCATGAATTTTTAGGAGGGAATTATAATTAATCAGACGGAGGTATGGGAGGCAATTTGAGGGGGTTTCATTCCCCCAAAATTAATTGTTTCTGAATGTTATGATTGCATAGCTGGGATCAGAATAAAAAAAATGTAACGAGTCTGAAGAATGAGCCAGTCAAGCTCTGCGGTTTGTAGCTGATATGAAAAGAGCTAAAAACTGGTCGATCATAGAAATGATCGCATAAAAAAAGGTTAATCTCGTGCGCGCGCACTCGGTGCAGTTGGAGAAGTCGTTTGGAGCGGCCCTGTGAGGAATATTATGGGTTCAGTTCTGGAGACGGAGCTGAAGATTTACTGGCAGCTGGACAAGCGAGGGATGGGATGCACCGGCTCTGCGCCCCTCATTGTCCTCTAAATCCTGATGCATCTGCACCTCAGAGGCCCTTCTCAACTGCATCTTCTGTGCGCGCGTTCACACCCCCCAACACACACATTTCACACACAGAGTCCTAAGTAGGGATAACGAAACAATGGTGTCCAATCATATTAGGAGCATCAACTTTTTGACTTTTACGCAAAAACGTTTTAATTTTCGTTTTCTATTTTTTATCTTTTTGCTGTTACTTTCTCCCATACACGTCATTCAGAATAGTTTAAAATCTGCACAGAATCTAATAGATTATTTTAATATAATTTCGTTTTAAATAAATGTATCTAAATGCAGCCTGTGCGCACCCGTGCCAAAAATATTTGGACTCGGAGCGCATAACTCGTCCGGTTCTGTCTGCACCCCCTGCGACTCTGCAGAGGCCTGTTTGAACTACCTGTGAAAGTAAACAGGTAAACACAGAGAGATAGGCTCTCCAAGTGGAGTACGTCCACTTAGCCAGTGCGCATTTACCTCTTCTCAAGGAAACCCTCGGCTCAATTGATCAAATACATCCCCGGCAACTGACCACACAGCCCCGCAGCCTAGTGCGCGCTCCACTGTCACCAGCTACTCCCACATTGTCACTGCGGCGTGAGAGCAGCGCAGAGTGACACGGGTGCTGACTCTGGTTTGGCTCCACGCACTTTTACACCTCAGCGAGTAAATATTCTGCACGGGCCAAGTGATGAGGCGCGCATGGAGGCTCCAGCCGGGGCCATTCCTGCGTGATGCGTGAAGCTCTCTCTGGGTGTCTCTGCGCAACCCCCCCTGCATGACATGTGGGATTTTAGCTGCGCATTACTTGGTGGATCAGGTCAGTAACCTCTCTCTCCTTTGCAGGGACTCCGGCAGCAACTGACAGTTTGTACAAGCAGCGCGTCCAGCTCAAAGGAGCCTTTGTGGGATGTTGGGAATTTGTGATTAATTCCACCAATCTGGTGAAATATTTACCTGAGGCCTAAAAGTCAAACAGTACTTAAAAAATAAAAATAAAAAAGAGGAAAATTTCCATTGTAATGCTAAAATAATAATAATAATTTTGATGCATTCAATTGATTTTAGTTTTTTCTTCAACAATTTGCAAAAATAAATAAATTAAAAAAACTATAAAAGACACAGCAGTTATATGTGCAGGCTTTATGTGTGTATGTGTGTGTGTGTGTGTTTAGATGAAGGACTTTCCTTAATATTGTGGAAGGATCCTGGAACTGAATGAAAAGATAGTCCTTAGAAAGCAGTTGAATGCCATGACAACTCGGAACAATCTCAGATTTATTCCAAACATTTAGAAAGCATTGTGCGCGCGGCGTCAATCATCCATTATTTGGGTCCCCTGAAATAAATGCAAAAACTGTGGCCGGACAAAAGCTTCCAACAGGAGCCGGACATTTGTCTACATTTCCCCCATTGTCTGCAGCTTAGCAATCGGTTTGTATTTGTGTTTGCCCGGGCCCGACCACCCAGGATGCGCAGAGGAGCTGCTAAAAAACGCGCAACATTGTCACCCACATCACATACTGCAGAGGGAGGAGAGTGGAGGGGAAAGTCTTGAAGGAGAAGAAAATAAAGTAAAGCAACAATGATACTCGGATTTCACAGGAGAAAGAGGGGTGGGGGAGTGTGTGTGGGGGGGGGGGGGTGCACTTTAAATGACTCTCCACACAAGCAGAAAACAAATATTGGGATGCGCTGTCATGATAAGAGAGGCAAGATTTATTATGAATAAAAAAATGTGATATTAATGAGTTTGATTTTCTTTTTTTAAATACAAAATCATCTTGAAACTTCTTTCTTGATGTCATTTTTTTTTAAAGAAACAGCAACAATTATTATTATTATCATCATTATTATTATAAAAATAGCATTATTATTGGTCCTAAATACGTGCTTTCAAACAAACATAGTCTTGCTTCAGTTTCAGCTCATCCTCTTGTCCTTAAGCCCTGGCAAAAATATTGACACAAAAGGTTTACATAAATTATCTCCCATTATTTGAACGGAGCAGGTCGTTCCTCGTTTCTGCGCTGAAAAGCCTCGTGTCTTCCAGCATCCATCTCCAAAATGTTCTATAAAAACTATAAATGATGGAAAAGTTTAAAGCTTCAGTGGCATCAGTTTGTTAAAACAGGCTTTTTTTTAGTATTGTGGCTATAAAGCTACTTGGAGGTTCTTTGTATGTAAATAGGGTGTAAAAAGAGCCCTCCCCGTCTTTGTAATTAATTGACACGTTATACCACTCATCATGCTCTGAAGCACCAATGGTAGAGGCTCGGATCTCCCCAAAACCCACAATTTCACATCTGCAAACACTGTCTTCATCCACTTGACTCCTAAGACCCGCCCACACGTGGCCAACCTTTCGCGTTTTTTAATGCTTTTTCACTGCAGGTTCATGTGTTCAGACCAACCTTATATGGACTGATCGGACAAGGTAATGGCTTATTTCCCTCTAGCACCCAGCAGTAGCACAGTATCCATGAGCCACATATAGCACTTCAGCCACTTTGGCATCCTTCCTGGACTTACAGAGACTGACTGAATCCACTTGCTCAGGCAATGGTTTTCCACAGTGGCTGCTGCTTCCACTGTACTTCAGCGTAGAGCGACTCCTTGTACTCTTCCCATTTTCCCCCTCCTGAACAGTTTTTGCCTCTGCTTCTTGTCTGTTTCCTCCACGACAGCGGATTGTCCCCCACGAAAAGGCTGGTGCAGCAACTTTTTCTTCCCCCCCTTGCATATTTTCCCCCCCTACCAGAATATGTCGTTGACCAACACAAAGACGGGCTTTTCTGTAAAGGACATTTTGGACCTTCCTGACACGAATGATGAGGACGGATCTATCACCGGAGCCGAGGAGGACACGGAGGGATCGGAGACCACGTCCACGACGAAAACCACGGGAGTTTTGGTGCAAAGTCCTCTAGAAAACGTTCAGAACCTGCCTTTAAAGAACCCCTTTTATGACAGTAGTGACAATCCTTACACACGATGGCTTGCTACTACGGACAGTATTCAATATTCATGTAAGTATAAAGTCCTACAGTCCTCACTAATCTGCTTCATATGCGCAATTTTCAGCCTTTGCGGTTATATTAAGTCATAATTGGTGGCATATTGCGCCCTAACTATGCCCTTGGGTGGCTGGCGCTGTTCATCTTTATGCACCGCGAACTGCTCGTCTCGACGTGTTTACAGCTGCTGCGTTAAGACTCAGCTCACTTTGCAAGAATTAAATGAATAAAACGCTGCAAAAACAACAGGGTTTAAGTCTTTAGCTGCCTTGTTTCATTCAGTCCAAATATTAGCAGAGTGAGAAATTTAAAAAGCGCCTTTTACGCGTTTGGAAGGAGACAATGCGCATTTTACGCACCACTGAATTCAGAAAACTGGACTTCTGGTGTCCTGTGTTTTGCTTGACCCAGATCCTGTTTTATTTCTAAGGAGTTAAATTTGGTCAATTTTATTTTATTATCCCGTCATGTTTGCGTGATTAAAGTGATCCGAGCTCCTTCAATCTCTAACTCAGAGCGAGTTTTAAATCATTTTTGCGCAAAGGCTGAATTTATGCCAAAAGCCTCGTTAAGTGTTGATTCTGAACTGTATATGTGGCCTGTGCGTCTCAGAACTTCCCGACGTAACATTTTGACAGTGTTTCTCCCGTTTCTTGTCCCAGTGCACGGTCTATCCGCCAGCTCTCAGGACTCGGCCAAGTCCCCGGAGCCGTCCGCGGATGACGAGTCCCCGGACAACGACAAGGAGACATCCAGCAGCGGCGGCAGCGACTCGGGCAAGAAGCGCAAACGGAGGGTGTTGTTTTCCAAGGCGCAGACCTACGAGCTGGAGCGCCGCTTCAGGCAGCAAAGGTACCTGTCCGCCCCGGAGAGGGAGCACTTGGCCAGCTTGATCCGCCTCACCCCGACCCAGGTGAAGATCTGGTTCCAGAACCACCGGTATAAGATGAAGAGAGCCCGGGCCGAGAAAGGTATGGAAGTGACCCATCTCCCTTCTCCCAGGCGGGTGGCCGTGCCCGTCTTAGTCAGGGATGGAAAGCCTTGTCACACTCTTAAAGCTCAGGACTTGGCGGCCACTTTTCAGGCCGGGATCCCCTTCTCGGCGTATAGCGCACAGTCGCTCCAACACATGCAGTATAACGCGCAGTACGGCGCCGCGGCCACGCCGCAGTTCCCCACAGCGCACCACTTGGTGCAGACGCAACAGTGGACTTGGTGAGAGAGATTCTAGAGACTTGACTTGGAGGTGCTGTATAGGGAGTTTCCCCACAGAGCAAAGAAAAAGAAAAAAAATCAACAACACACACACAACAAAACAAAAGACTTTTAATTTTTTGCAGCTTGACTCATATAAATACCATTTTTTATTCGGGGCTCATGTGTGCGCCGTGTTTACATGTTTTCGTTAAGAAAACTGGGTCCGACCCCCCCCCCCCCCCCCCCACCCTCCCCTTATAGATTTTATTAAGAATGTCAATGCTCTTCTTGTGAATTTTTTTTATTTTTTTTTGTAAAGTATGTTGTGTGTTGGTTGTAGAGATGTTTTCTTTTTTTTTTCTTTTTTCTTTTCATTTTGTCCCTTCGTGTTATTATCAGCACGTACGAACCACTTTATATAATTATAGAAAATTTTAATTTCTTGCTTCTTTTATGGACCGAAAAAAATATTTATGGCCATGAATAAAAACTGGCAAGTTTTCAGCCTTTTTTTCCCCCTTTGGTTTTTATTTCTTGTAAATATATTTGTGGCAGGTGGTGTGGATGCAGATTTAGACATTAACATTAACATATATATATATATATATATATATATATATATATATATATATATATATATATATATATATATATATATGTATATATATATATATAAGGACTTTTGGCAAAACATATTTAGAGGCGCAATGTCGTTGCGCGATATGGCTAACATCAGATAAGTTTAAAATTAAAAACAAGACTTTGTTTTTGTGATTTAGATTTTGGTTTGAGCTTTTTATTAACTGGTTTATTTGAGACATTGCTACGCCACAATAGGAAAAAGACAAACATATTATGGAGCAAAATGGAGTTAATCATGGGAACAAATCTGCGCACTTCACTCTTTTCTCTTTTGGGTTAAAATTAATCCGGAGAATATTTTTCCTCAGTCCGAACATCTCACTAATAAAGAGCCTAAAGTCACTTGTGAAATGGGACCAAAATCCACTCACTTAATATAAGTGGGCTTCTCAACATAAGAAGCTTTTGAGCCGAAAGCACTCCTTTTTGTCAGGCTCACCAGCCACTCCCGGCCTTGGGTGTAAAGTGGCGCAGAGCGCAGGCAAAGCGTGGTTTAATGCAATAAATGTTTTGTTATCTTATTAAGTCGCTAAATTGCAACTAGGGCGGCACCAATCAATACCTTCTTTGTTAAAAAAAAAAAAAAAAAAAAAAAAACTTACAGCCTCTTTAATCATCTGATAAAGTTATTTTTGACATGATGAGCTATTAAATTCGACATTAAAATATGTTGAGGACGCGTTGGAGCACAATCCGCGGAGCGCGCACTGCGGATTATCTGACTCCGTCAATATCTTGGGTAAATATGATAACCCAGTGGAGGAAATCTATGCTTTTTGTTTGTCCCGGGACAGAATTCTCCCAGCAGATGTTAGAGTCGCCCCTATCATCACAGAACAAACAGCTAAATTAGGCAGATTTGCTAATTATTTACAGAAACAGGTCCCCCGGGTGGGGAGAGCTACTGCTTTTGTGCCATTTGCCCCTGACAGAAAGGACTCCTCTGTCCTAAACACCGGTTGAGCTTGTAGGTCAGATAAATCAGCAACTTCTTGTTGTGGTTTTGGGGGTGTTAAATTACAGGGAAATGAGCAAATGATTTAAAAATGGCACCGGCACAATGATTTGTAATGCAGCGCGTAAAGGGAAGCGCTTTGACTTTTTTGCTGTCGGGTTTTGACACAGTTTCTGCAGAATACAATAACACATCCAAAGACAAAAGCCCAGGTCCGGTTCTGCTGCGTGCATGTTAACAAGCTGCAGCAGAGGAGACGCAGACAGGCTCGATAGACAGAGTTTGTCGGTGCTGTCCAGAGTCAGGGAGATGAATCCTTGGGCTTTTTGTCCCGCCTGTCACTCGGTGCCATTGTGATCCTTCGCTGCACACGTTGTGCCCCATATGGGCAGCTGGGTTCGGGAGAAGGAGAAAAAGAACCTCTTACAAACCCCAAATTGTATCAAGCTGTCAAATAAAGCATTGTTGTCTCTGAAAGAAAAACGAATTAAAAATTCGTGCTATATCTATTCTGGTTGAAAAAGAAGAAGCCCCATTCACGCGTAACAGGGAGTCCTTCTTCCTTGATAGAGCTGTGCCAACAGCAGCCTTCTCATTTCCCTTCCATCCCTCCTTTCTCCGGAGTGAAAGGCTGATTATTGTCTGACTAAAAAAAAAAAAAAAAAAAAAAAAAGAAGTGGCTCGTCAGAGCGTAAAAACTATTTTTAATTCCAGACAGTGCTCTCCACTGTTTGGCTCCTGTTAGGCCCAATTATAAAATGAAAACGTGGAAAAATGTTTTAGCCCCGATTAAAGACTTCCGTTTCAACTATTTATAGCCAAATAAATGTCGGAATTCACTCGGAATTGTGACGTTTTCTACAGTTTTATAGCAATTGCAAACACAAAAGCAGATTGATATTTTCAAATGTGGACGCTTTCATTAGCATTTTGGTTTTTATTGCACATCTAGAAGATGCAGATGTTTTCCGAGCAGGTTGCCTTCTTGGAAATAATCACATGAAGTGGGCTTTGAATTGCAAAATAAAAATGGTATTTTGTCGAGAATTATTAAAAGAAAACAAAATCTAAAGTTTTCCCAAACAGAAGCGTCAACTATGCTCAACACTTTATAACAAACTTCCAGAAAAAAAAATAAAAATAAAAAAATAAAGCGCTTTAATATCCAGCCAGAAAATAAAAGTGCTCCTCCCTCAGCTTTGCATCAAGGTCAGATTGATCAGAAATTGCTTTTGGCTGCTTCAGGGGATAAAATCAGTGCCACATTAAAACCTGCCTCATAGTTCAACCTGCGTGGATAACACCATTATATACCTCCGAATGCAACACTTGAGGAAATGTGCACTTGGGACACCATGGAGCTTCATTTGAACCTCTGCATGAATCATTTTGTTCCTATCACGCACATCACCAAATAAACGAGGCTTTTGAATCTAATTTAAGCGGCGCTTTTCATTTAAAGGGAAGCTATCTGGGGTTTTATTGCCTTAAAGAAGATCCAGATTAGATTCGCCTCGATATTAAAGAGATGGAGTGATGGCGCACTGGAGGATGCGAGGAGGAGGAGTTGTTGCGGCAGGCTGCCACCAGATGGCAGCAGAGGTCTTCACTTGGCGTCACGCAGCGTTTTCTTTTATTCCTACCTGCAAACATCCACCATCACTTCATTCCATCACTGCAAATTACTGCAACTACACTGCAACTGCTGAAATGAGCACGTTTTCTCTCTTTTTTCTCTCTCACTCTCTCTCTCCTCTCCTCTTCTTTTTAATGAACACACGTAGCAGCAGACTTGACAGTCTTTTTAAGTGCGTGATTGCGGTTTATGACATTGTTATGGATCTTGAGAGCATAATCATATCGCTCTTCAAAACAAACCAGACAGGACGTAAACAGTCCACAGGCAATTAGTGCCGTTTGCGGTTCGCACTTGAAAATAAAACGAAGAGGGAGGAGGAGGGGGAGGAGGAGGAGGAGGAGGAGGAGGGGGTTCGAGGTTCTCCACGGTGTGGCGCAATAGGATAGGAGGAGAAATATGGCGCAGATTATTTCACTTGGTGGAATAAGAGTCATTTTTTAAAATACAAAAGGTATTTAGTAAGAAATCATTCCAGCAAAGAAGAGTGAGCAGCATTAACAAAACTTTCGTCTTTATGGCTATTTCTGTTGTTGACAAGTAAAAATGATAAATATGATTAAGAGAAATGGCCTTACCTGTCATAATGGAGGCCTCATAAAGCCAGTGAAAAAAAATAAATATTGAGGAGGTAAAAAAAAAAACAAAAAAAAAAAACACGTGTCACATAGATTAGTTAATTATAGTCACTTTTTGTGCTACAAATTGCCTGAAAACCATCATCATCTCATGCAGAGAGAAGTGGAAAAGATCTGCTAAAAACAAAAAAAAGGGTCGACTGACGTCACCCTCTTTAAACAACTTCTCACATCATCAGTGAGTTTTGCACCTGCAGGGGGCCTCATTGGGCTAAAAACATTAGTTCTCCATGATTAATCAGGGCAGAGGAAATAAGTCTGATCTGAGAATTAATTCATTTTGACTCTAAAATAAACAAGAACATTCTCACATCTTGGAAAAGTAACAGTGCATGTGTAATAAAGTGACTCAGAATGATAAACAACGTGCAGCTGAATTATTAGTAAATTAAAAAAAAAATGCTGGGACAAGTCCATAAGATGAGTTCACAAGTTCTCTCACTGGGACAGAGCGTCTACCAGCAGAGTTCCCCCCCAGCTTTCCATCTGCACAAGAAGAGCTGCAAGCCGACAAAAACACACACGAGCACGTGCACGGGCTTTCAACAGAGAAGCACCACCAGAGCTGCATCTGGCACCAGGTTCCTGCGGAGTTGAAGAAAGCCTCGCTTCACCTCTGACAGTCTCCAGCTTCTGACACGATGAGCTCATTTACAAACTTTAAACTTTCTGGGGTTGTCTTTAAAGTTTGTCTGGGGCTGGGTGTATTTGTGCCTGCAGAGTAAGTGTGTTCAATTTATCACTAATGATGAGGTAAAGTCAAACAAGGCTTTTTCAGAACACATTTTTTATTGGCAGATTTGATGCTAATTCAGTTTATGGACTAATTGCTTAATTAAAAAAAAAAAGCCCATTAGTTTATTTCTTTCTCTTTTAAAATTCACAAAAAAAATGGTTTCCTGATCATTTAGCGATTTATTTAACTACTTATATGACAATAATTCAGCTTATTATAAGAAAAACATTCCAGTTTGGCAAATGTTAAAGAAAACTTTCTGCAACCTTGATCTTATGAGCACATGAAAAGGCTGATTTATCTTAATGTTTCTTATCTTACAGTGATGCATTAAATATTATAAATCCTCCATTTATCACAGTGTTAACAATTAGTTATCCATCTTTTCACTTTAGGTTTCAATTTAATATTCACTAAATGCACAGCTTAGACACCTGAAAACACCACTGGTAATAGACAAAATACAATTTGAGCTCTTTAAGTCATATTAAAAGTCAGT